TGGACAGAGTTGATGTTGTGAAGCAGGTCACCAGCTAAAGGAATGTGTGTGGCACCTGTGGGACTGGGTGGCTTTGGGGCCAGGCCTCATGGCCCCTGGCTGTGGGTCAACTCTGCTTACAGCTCTGGCAGACCACAGAATCACAGAATTGTTTAGGCAGGAAAAGACCTTTCAGATTATTGAGTCCAACCATAAACATAGCACTGCCAAGTCCTCCACTAAACAACGCCCCAGGAGCCACATCTCCATTCCGTTTAAATACCTCCAGGAATGATGATCCCACCACTTCCCTGGGCAGTGGCTTGACAGTTCTATCAGTGAAAAAATTTCTCCTGATATCCAATCTAAGATGATGAACTCTAGGGAGGGTTGTGTGACACAACCCTCATATGATAACTTTTCATAAAAATCCTTTCTTTAGGATTTTTCTCCCTTCTGAGAAGCTGTGGCCTCAGCAACGAAGTGTAAACAATGGTTATCTGCTGCTGTGGAATGCAACAGGTGGATCCATGATTGGACTCGGGTGGATGTTTGGATTTACTGACCACTTACGGCAGAGCTGGGTCTCGCTCTCTGCTGAGACACAGACCTTTGTTATTCATTCTTTTCTATTCTTAGCTTAGCTAGCCTTCTGAGAACTTTGTCTTCTATTCTTTTTAGTATAGTCATAATGTAATATATATCATGAAATAATAAATCAAGCCTTCTGAACATGAGGTCAACATTCTCATCTCTCTCTTCATCCTGCAACCCTTGTGACCACTGTGACAGTTGTGGGCAGCAAGGAATGTTTGCTGCTGAGATCGAGGCTGTGGCTCTGCCAAGAGACTTGGCCCTGAAATCACTGAGGGTAAAAGAGAGGGTCTTGGGTTTGCACATCCTGCAACATCAGTCTGGCATTGCAGATAAAGACTGATAAGGCTCTGTAAAAATAAGCCCTCAAATTTGTCAAGTATTGTCATAACATGCTGATGCCACCTTTATCCAGTAAATAGCACCTGCTGTACCAAAACTGTCTGGCTCTCAAGCTGTGCAGAAGAGCTGGCAGATGTTTTGTCCCAGGCTGCACAGGGGAATGCCAAAGTGCCTCATGGAAAGGCAGCAGCCTGACATATTGTTCTCCTCTTCTTTCACCTCTCATTGTTCTCCTCTCTGCCTCCCACCTCCCAGATGCATCTCCTGGCCCCACAGTGACTTTCCTACTGAGGAGTCTGGGCTCAGCCTCACCACACTCCCAGTTTCATACAAAGCCCCCAAATTGTGCAATATCCCCCAGTTTATTTGCAGACAAAACTTCTCAGTCTCATCAAAACGGTGGGTGTTGGCAGGTGACTTCTAGACTCACTAGAAGGAGCTCTCAGGCCTGAAAAGAGAAAACTCATGAATTGGGAAGTTTAATCAGTTCAAGGCAAGCTCTGTTATGATGTTTTTAAGTTCACTAAAACTTTAAAGTGTAAGTTGTATAACTCCTTTCTGAAACCAGCTGTGTTGAGATGGGGCATTCCAAAGGTTTGCCACAACAGCTGGCCACCAGAATTAATCTGTGTCTTTCTAGAGAAATCCTACAAAAAATCCCTAACACCTTTGGATGAACTCAGTCTGAAGTTGACACCCTCTAAAGCTAATAATATGTGATTGTACTTCTTTTAGCAAAAAAGTAATTTTTCTGGTTCTATTTTGTTTACACTGGATGTGGAACATCAGCTGCTGTATCAGTCTTTTCTTCTTTTTGCTTGTTTTGAAAGGCAAAAAATAGTTCAAAACAAAGTTTCTTGATAGTTTGTCTAGATTTAGTGCAGAAAAAACCTCCAGTGTTTAAAAATCTTGGTAACCCAGGTGTGAATTTACAGCTTAAGAATTGCTTTTGAAGTTTTACTACAAATGATCTCAACACAATTCTTCATTTCACTCCTACTGTAGCTGTACTCTCCTAAGGGAAGGTTATTCAGAGGTTTCATTTATCTTTCTAATCAATTGTTTTGCTTTGATGTGCAGTACAGGGCAAATTGTTCCTCTTGAACTGCTTTGTACCTGTGCTGAATAATAATGATAATGAATAAAGCCTTGTCAATGAGCTGTACTCAGTGAGGTGAGATGTGGTGAGGAAAAGCCACTCCCCTCTTCCTTTCAGTCAAAGAAGGGAAAAGACCAATGTGACTGAAAAGACAGCAATACCTTGCAGGCCAGCATGTTTAAAAAACCTCAGAAATTAAGGTTTGAAAAGCAAAATAAGTATTTTAAAGGTTAAAGCAAAGTTTAGAGCACTGTCTAAAGCTGTTAGTGCTGCCCTTTATTGAGGCAATCAGTGGTGCAGTGAGTACTGGCAGGGATGTGCAGGCAGGCCAGAGTCTTCGAACTAAAGGTGCCCCAAAATGAAAAAAGAACCTCTTGGCTGAGACAGCAGGGTCTGGGTCCCACCTGTGGGGCTGAGCTTTCCAAACCCCACCAGTGAGAGCCCCACTGTGCTGTGGGTGCTGCAGGGTGAGCAGTGCTTTTCCCACCTGCAATAAAACACACAGGCAGCAACTCAGCAGAGCTCTAAGGGTTGTGGGGAGGCAGAAAAGGCAGAGAAAGGCTCTCCCAGCTCCTGGACCCTCAGCTGCTGGAGGCCTTCCCCACACAGTGGGAACCCCAAGTGGGAGTCCTTTATATTTTGCCCATAAACATGTTAGGAATAAGAAGCTTGACTTGGCCAATATTCAAGCAACAATCAATTTATTAATTAATATGGTAAAGTATGAGCAATACAGTGCTGGGTACAGTGGGAGAAGTTTTCCCTCCAACTGCACACTGATAGTTGAGGCTTACAGGCATTAATAGGGGCACTCATCAGCTTTCTCAGCAGTTTCTATTCCAGTTTTTACTCATCAGCAGTTTATATTCCCATTTTTTACGTCTCAGTTCTATACACTATTGTGATTTAGTTTTTCTCAGGATGTATCTCAAAGGAGTATCCCCAGATGGTGGTGGTCTGGTTTCCGAAAGAAGAAAAGAGGAACCCCATCTGGTGAATGAAGTCCAGCTCCCCAGATGTGGGTCCACCTTTTAATTGCAAGGACTATAAATCTCATAACAGTGATGTCCAGCTTCCCTTCATTGAAACTATAAATCCTTGAGGTGATGTTCATCTTCCTTTTTCAAGCTGTTTTTCTCTGTTTTGTTAAGGCATGAGATAAGCAAGTTTCCTTTATATATATTCCAAAGCTATAGTTTCAAGGATACAAGCAATATTCTAAAATTATACTTCAAAAGGTTATTATTGCAAAACTCTTTAAGTCTTAACTACAAGCAAAGAGCAACATCCTTAATGCTTTAATTCCAATGCTCCTAAATCAACCAGGGTTAATTGCAAGCAAAAGATACTTTCAAAGCCTTTTTCCATGCTTTACTTTCCTCAGTTATTATTAGAATTCACAGGTCTCCCATTGTTGGTCTCCACACATCTCACAATCACAAAAACACACGCTGCCTGTTTGTACCTGACACGAAACACAGCTCTGTATTTCACAAACATGTCCCTTGTGCTCCCTTTGCTGCCCCATGCCTGGCAGGGGATGCTTCCCATCTCCACATGCTCTGCTTCCCAACTTCCACATGCACACACCAGACCCTGCAACACCTGCAGGGGCACACCCAGGGATGTCCTTGCTTGGGCAACCAGCATCACATTTCTCTGCTCTTGTGCTTCCCCAGTGCTTCCTAGAAACTAGGTAAGACTTTATTCATTATTCATTATCCAGAGAAAGCTTTTAAAGCTCAGCTCTCCCCCTCAGCAGCCCTTAGAGTGGGAGAGTTCAGCTCTGGAAGAGGAGGGGACAGGCAGGGGCTGCAGGATTGCATCCTGTTTAAATCAGGCCAGACTCATGCTACGCATGAACAGTCACATTTTCTTTGTTTCTCCTTTGTGGCTATAGAGGCCACTTTCCTCATGCAGTTGGGATAGTCTTAGGAGAACTCCAGGGCCTGTGCATGTGGAAAAGTTTCTCTTCTTAAAAAAAACAACTCTAAAGCTTTCAGTGGAGTTTAGCCTCCAGAAATAGGAGAGGGCTCACACAGACTAGACAGCCTTACATGAACCCTGCAAGTGCTCCATGGCCCAGAAGCTGCAGTTTAAAACTTCTTATGCAGAGCTGACCATAGGAAATACTAATGAAAAAGAAAAATATACTAGAGCTTCCATGTTCCATTCATAGCCAGACAGCTCCAGTGCAGTGGGGCAATTGCACTTTTAGGTCAGCAACAACAATAACAGAAAGTACAGACTGCCAATCCTTCTGAAGTGGTTATTCTTGAGTATTGCCTGTGCAGAGACTCAGTGTGCCTTTGGGGCTTGAGGCACAATAACTCAATTTACAATATCTTAAAGAAAAATTGCAATTTAATGTTAGAACTGTCATTTTAATGAAGCCACTGGCTCAAAGGCAATTATCCCAAATTTTGGGATGATGACCAGAATTACTGGGATTATGAATGGCACTGCTTTTAAATGACTACATAGTCCTGACCAAGTAAGAAATTTGTCACACAGTGCACTTGATGTACTTGATAATATATATCTAGTGGTGGGTGCATAATTAACCCATAAAATAATGAGAATTACTTCATGTTTGTAAGTCATAACAAGACAACAAGGATTGAAATAAAAAAATACAATTTACTAGTGAATATTTACCCATTTGATGGGTACATAGTGAGTATATAGGTTCTCTCTTTTGCTACCACAACTTCTACAGCAAGACACAGTGTGCCATGGCTTTTCCTTCTCCTACCCTGCTGGCTGCCAGCTCTGCATTTCAGGTCAGCTGCTCTGCTGCTTCTGCAAAGCTGTGAAACTGGGGAGGCTGGCTGGGAAGAGAAGTACCCAAATTTATTTTTAAATTAACTGCGAGTACTCAGTTCAGTGACACCTGTTTGATCTATGCAAGGAGATACTTTAGAATGATAACCCACAGAATTCTCCCACTATTTCCATAACCAGTCTCTGTTTGTTTCTGCCTCAGGTATTGCCTAGCAGAAAACCATGGGCAATTTCAAAGGGCATGCCCTCCCTGGAAGCTTTTTCCTTCTTTTTGGCTTGTGGTGGTCAGTGAAGTACCCACTGAAGTACGCCTGCAGAAAGAACAAGAACGTTTGCTACCTTGGTTCCAGGGCAGCATTCCAGCGCCTGGAGTTTGTGGAGGGCATCATCAAAGCTGTCTTTGCCCTCATTGGTAAGTGAGGTGAACTAAGGGCAGCCTGTACCTTCTAACACTTTTTGCTTTAAATTTTGTTCTCTGAGAAAATGAATCTCCTTTCGTTCTGCTCTTTTGCCCTTTACCACTGAGAAGTGCTGTTATTACACAGCTGTGGCCATAACAGGGTTTCCATCCATAGTGCTCTTCTGGAGCTTCTGTGAGGTCTCCTGACCACTCTGGACCACTTGACGGCTCCTGACCACATCTCAGTGCTCATGTACTGCTCCCTGTTCAGGGAGGGAGACAGGATGTTTAGGCAAGGGGCTCCATGTGCACGCTGGGAGCACCAGACAGTGAAGGTGTTGCTTTTCTATTTTGAATTCAACCACCTCAGGTGTTGGAAGCCTCCGCTGATTTATTGATAAAATATGTAAATGATGCAGATGATTTTTTGGATTCATCTCAGTCAAAAGTGAAAATGTTCACACAAACAGACTGACTTCCAGCTCTTATTGCTGCAGGACTGTTGTGATGGGGTGTGGGGAGCTGTTTGTCCTTCTGTTGTGTCCAGGCCTGGTGCAAACCCACTAGGATGGCTTTGGGAGCTGTGTAGCTGGCTGAAAGTGTTTAATTCTTGTTTACATCCTGGCAGGCTGTGTGGCAGTGATATGGCTTTAGAGGGTAAGTAAACTAAACAACAGGGGATCTGAGGAGCTCAGCACCTGCAGCTCAAGTTGAAAAATAGCTAAATTTTAAGCATTTTTGCACTTCTAGATTCTATTTATCTACTCTTCTTTAGATGCCCAGAGTTGCCTCATTTTTAATCAAGGTGCAGGCTGTGACAAAATCCTGTTCTTGCTTTTCCTTCCTCTCTGTTAAGATATATCAGCACTGAAGGGAAGTTGTGTCTACAGTTTTATCATTAGAAAATGATAAAAATCTAAATAACAGCATTCATTTTGAAGCATGATTGTGGACATCTTTCCTACAAATCTCCCAGTCTGTGGCTAGAGGTAGTTTGGCAGCTAAAACATTAATGTACTCGTTTTATTTTCATTTTGAAACCACAAGTTCTTATTTTAACATGTGGAAATTCCAATTCAAATCAAAAGTATGGAAAAGCTGCTTGGCTAAGACAGACATAAAGGCATCAGGAGTAAAACCTGCTGTTTCTATGTTAGGAAAACTGGAAATAAAGGTGGAACAACACTGCATTTGCTCTACAGCGTATCTGTTTTTACAGCAGGATGCTGGCCTGTGCTTTATAAACAATGTAATCATCTTTTATGTTTTAAAAGCAGAACAACTTTTAAACCCTCCCCAAACTTCATTGATCATATAAAGCATTTAAAAGCAGTTTTCCCTTGCTGGAGTACCTCAGTTAGTTAGCAAAACACTGAGGGGCCAAGGTAAGGGAGAGAGTGGGGCAGTGATTCAAATTCTCACTCCCTGTACATTCCCATGGGACTTCTAATAACTCTGCACGGTGGAGGGGTTTCCTTTTATGGCTTTAGAGGAAAAATCCCCTTTGAATGAGTCTGAACTCTGTCATCCTGCATGTGGCAGGGCACTGAAATGGTAAATCTTTCTTTGGGAGACTTCAGCGTGTGTTATGCTCATGTTTGAACCATTGGAAAAGGCAGCTGAAAAATTTGGTCAGAATGCTACTACCATAGCAATTGTTTAAAAGAAGAAAAAGCAGCTCATAATAAGCTGTTTTCATTTTCATTGCTGGAAACTGCAAGATGCAAATAGTTCCACCAGGAGTGGAGCTGAAGCCTGATTTCCCCTGGCCCTCCGCTCTCCAGGTTATGTGATGCTAAAACCCCAAACTTACTGGCGTTATGCTGCATGGGGATGTACTGCTGCCTCTGTTGTTTGGGTAAAGACTTGCCAGCAGTTTATACCTTAAGCACCAGAACAAATGATTTTTCATCTTGTTTCATGCACAGGGATGGTGGCTGAGCAGTTTGTTCCTGATGGACCTCATCTGAAGCTGTACAACTACGAGAAGAAGCACTGGGACCACTTGATGAACTGGCAGCATGCCACCATGTACCTCTTCTATGGAATTTCAGGGCTGGTGGACATCGTGGCTCACGGCACCAACGCTCTGCCAGCAGCCATGGACAGGATGATGCTTTCCATAGCAGTCTTCATTGAAGGTCAGTTTACCTCTCCCTGCAGGGATGTGCATGAATCCCATGGATGGGTATTGATCATTGCATTGTGTCGTGGTTTGAAAAGACAGGTGTCTACTAAGGAAGCAGGAGCCTCCCCTGAAATGGAAAATGTAAACCCCCTCCCTCCAAATTGCTATAAATTTTAAATTAAGGGGCTCTCAGACAAAAATATGGGAGCAGGAATAACATTTTATTTTCTTCTTTATTAGGGAAGCAAATAAAAAGATAAAATAGACAATGCAGTAAACTAAAACAACACTGACAGAGTCAGAATACAACCTGACACCCTGTTGGTCAGGGCGTTGGTAGCAGTCCAGTTAGAAATGTGACTGCAGTCCTCCTGGAGTGTCAGGTGTGATTCTGTTGGAGCAGTGACCCTGTAGAAGGGTGTAGTCTTCCTCTGAAGATCCAGGGGAAGAAGCAGCTGTTCCTTTGGGAATCCAGTGGAGAAGCCGTGCAGTCATTCCAGTCCCTCCAGATTATATCTGGGTAGGAATGCTTGGCTCCTCCCTCTGGGTGGAGCATCTCACAATGGGATGTTATAGTTCTTATCAGTCATGCAGTGACATTCAATGACCTGTTATCAGAAGATGTCCCCTCCTGAGGGAGGGTGGGTGTGGAAGAGATAAGGAAAACTGCCCAATGAACAGAAGACAACTGCCATACAGATGGCAAATAGAATACAATTTGCTTGGCAATCCAGGACAGTGTGGGAATTTCAAATCAGCCTTGCAGAATAACCCTCTGGGAGCTGCCTGTTTCACTCCCTGAAACACTTCAAGAAGATCACAAAAAGATCAGTCTTGGCCCTTCTTACACTGCCCACTGCCGTAGAGGTGTATCCTAGCTTTCCCACCTGCTTAGACAGCAACAGAAATGTTATGGAAATAGCAGCAAAAGCCTGTTTTGGGTAAGTGCTCAGCAGCTCAGGCATGTGTTTGCTGCAGGTACTGACAACATGCACAACTGGTTAGCTAAAGCCAGTGTGAGTGAAGGTGATACTGGCATAAAGAGAAATGCCAGAAATGTTTCACTGTTTTCTAAAAGCAGATGGAGGGAAATTGCAAGGGAAGAAATGGTCTTAAACTGATCACAATTTATTCCAGGTTTTCTCTTCTGCTACCATCTTCATGGGAGAGCCATGCTGGATGTCCATGTTCATCAGTTACTGCTGTTTGCTATCTTTGGAGCTGCTGCCTGCATATTTTTGGAAGTGTTTTTCCGTGGCAGTATCGTGCTAGAGATGCTCCGTACAAGCCTCTGCATATTACAGGGCAGCTGGTTCTGGCAGGTGGGTCACATTTCTGTCTTTGTCATTTCTTCCTCACCAAAATTAGTCATTTAACCCTTTGCAGATGTTTTACAGGTTGTGGATATGCCTTTTAAACACAGACCTCAAAAGACTTACAAAAAATAAGTTACTTTAAAAAGATGCAGAAAAAAAAATCCTTTAAAGAGATGAAACTACTTCTCATAGCCATTTTACAGAAGAAGAAGAAGCTTCTGTAAAATGGTTATGAGAAGTACTTTTATCTTCAAGTGCCTTTTATTTGAATCAATAAAGAAGCTTAAGTGTTTTCCTTGAGTTCTCCACGTTACAGAGCTCTCTGATCCCTGTAACATCCTATTACAATCTTGCCAGCCAAGTGGCAGTGATTTTAGAGCATGGAAGTAGATGTTGTTCTTTACAAAGAGAGTCTCTACTGACAGCTGCTGGAGCAGTGAGTAGACACTCAGGACAAGTGAGGCAAAGGCCTCATTGACAATGCCAAAAGGTATTTAAATTACAGATTCTCATTAGGAGACTGGCTGGTGGAAAGCCTCCTGCTTTTCTAGTGCTCTGGGAGCTGAGCAGAAAAAAGAACAGCCAAAACTTTGATTTTTTAGGGATGTGGCTCCTGAAAGGACTCTTCAAAATGCAGCTTCCATGCCCTCACTTACTCGTGAGTCTATCCAATAACAAATATTTGACAGTGAATCTTTATCTGCTGTCAGAACAAGAGACAGATTTAAGGAGCTGCTAGGAATTTGTAACAGAAATAGGATCACTGGTGCTGATGTGTGTTTCATCTTATAGTGGGGAATTGAGGTCACTCCAGTGATTTTTCCTTCCGGCGTGTCTAGACTGGCTTCCCTTTTTTCTATGCTGACCAGACAAGATGAATAAAAATGTTTGCTGTTTCTTAGGAGAACTGGACACTCAGCAGCAAATCAAATATTTAAATGCTTTCTCTGGCATGGAGACAGACCTCAGAACTGGCTGTATTTTTCTATAAGTGAACTCAAGAATGTGATGCTGCAGCAATCGCTGTTTCATTTTCTTGTTTTATTTTCTCGTTTGCAAACTTCCAGCCAGTGATTTAAGAAGCTTTACATAGGAGGAATAGATGCAACAATTTATTCATTTTTTTCTGCCTAATCTAATTTTAGAACAGATTATTTCTTTAGCTCTAGAGACAATGTGGGTTTTGTTTCAAAGTAAAAATCGAAGTACTAAAAATAGAAGAAATTTAAGTGTGGCTTTTTTCACACCTGCATCAGACTTCAGCCATCTGTGTGACTGAAAACCACACACTGGCTGCAGCACAGGAAATTCGTAAAAGGTAAAGGGACTTTCTTTCTGCATCATCAACACCCTCATTCATTGAATTCTCTGCATGGAAATGCAAAATTCACTCCCCTCTTCTTCCTCTCCTCTTCCCAGTTTCTAAATTCCCAGCTAAACTGCTGAGTGAGGACTTTGAATAGTACTAAGCAGTACAGAGGGTTGGTGTTTGTCATGCAAACCCTGCATAGCCACAGGATTCACCATTTTCCCATTTTATGCACAAATATGAATCTGATCTTTCCCAGCTCTGAATAAAAAATCAGCTATGTATTTCACATGAACTTACAGTCTTGCATGAGGAAGCTCCATTTTTATGCCATTTCTGACCTTTCCCTTGGATGGCCTGGAAGAAATAGAATTGTGGCTCCCCTTTATTTATTCTTTGATTATTCATCTTCCCAGCCCTGTAATGCATTCCCAGCCTTACAGGGAATGTAATGCATTCCCTTCTTCCACTGCTGGGAAGAAGGGAGGCAGTGCAAATGGCCAGGCAGCTTTTCTGATCCATGAGGAGATTTCAGTTCAGAGCACACAGGGCTGAGCAACAGCCCTTCTCCTTACAGTGCATAATTGTGATGGTTGCAGGGCTGGGATGTTGGGCAGGCTCCTTAATTTTCTGGGCAAGAGCACTGGGTGTCTGGGACTGTCACTTTATCTTCAAAGGCATTTCTGCACAGAGCTGTTTAAACCTACAAGACTGACTACAAAATTGTTTCTAATAAGAAACACAGAAATAAGCAACACCATAAGAAAATTAAATGTCTGCCTTGTCATGGGTAGCATAAAACACGATATGGCACAGGATGCTCATCAAATGAAATGTACAAATCTCTTTTATTTTATTACAGATTGGCTTTGTGCTTTATCCCCCAAATGGAAGCCCAGAGTGGAATCAGACAGATCACACTAACATGATGTTCCTGACCATGTGCTATTGCTGGCATTATGCTTTTGCTTTTCTTATACTTGCAGTGAATTACACAATTGTCAGCTGGTAAGTTACTTGAAACACTAAAACTTTGGTGACTTGTCTATTTAGTCTACTAGGAAATTTATTTTAGAAAAGTTTCCCTGACAAATGAAAGGGTTTCTATGAAGTAATTGTCTTGCAAGGTAAAATAAAAATAGTTATTAGTAATCAACAAAAAGCACATGGTATTGCTCCAGTAAAAAAGGGAAAAATGCATCCATAAGTGCAGCTCTGATAGCATAGCACGTATACATCTCACATAAAATGAGCACCAATAGTCTTCCACATTTGTAAGTGCATATAAAGTCAGAAGTAGGAAATTTGTTTTACCTGCAGACCCCAACTGCTCATCTCTGCTAATTTTAAGTGGCTTAGAGAGCAGGCTTCATGATTTTACTGGGAAGATTGTTACACAGAATTCCTGCTAGAAATTTTCTGTGATCAAACCTGATTTCTTTTTCACTGGTCATTTTCACTCCCTAACGTCTAAAGTTTGCCCTTTTCCTCACTGCCCAGTGCTAATTCTGACAAAATTCCAACTCCAGTGTTAATTTGGCTGTAAAAATGCCTCTGCCATCAGATCACAGAGTGCGATCACCTTCTGTCCTCAGGATTTACCAAGCCTTTTCCTGCAGTGTCCTAAACATGCTTCTCACCGTTGCTTTATCCCTACCATCCCAATAGCCCTATTTAATCCTGTTAAATACATAGCTCTTCCAGTCTTGATTTGCACTGAGGTGCCAGTTCCTTTTGTGTCTCAGTCTGAAAGGCACCAGCACCGGAGGCTGGGTAACTGCTTTGCTGTGTAAAGAGGGGCAGCTCTTGAGGAAGGGGCAGCAATCTCTGGTCCCTTCTGATGCTGGGACCAGTGGCTGCTGCAGCATCAGGTGAGGCCTCAGAGAAGGTCGGACACGGCGCTCTGGCAGAGCTCCCCTCTGAGGGTGGTTTGGCCAGGCTCTTTCTCACAGCTTTATGGTCCCTTCCCAAGTGTGCACAGCTCCTGCACAACACTGAACTTTCTGGGGGGCTCACTGAGGTTTGTTTGAAGTGCTCTGGGATATGTCCTTAGGAACAAGAGCTTGCAAGCTGCACAGTCAGGATGGATCAGTAAAGGCAGCACTTCCTAACCACAGAATGAGTCATCCTAACTCACTGAATGTTGGAACCCAGGAAATTCCTCTGGCTGCCCTGGAGGGCTGGAGCCCCTGCCCAGGGGCCTCACAGACCTTGGCACAGAGCCCAGGACCCCTGTGCCTTTGATTTAGCCCTTTGAAAAAACAATTACCAACCTTATATGAAGAATTACAAGCCACAAAAGTTTAAGTAGAATAATAGTGAATTTATCACAGGGTGAAAAATAGATTTTTTGCGGTTTTTAGAATGGGGGCTCAGGGGGCAAGATGGAGGAATCTGGGCATATCCAGCATTTCTCCTCATTCCTCTTGGCCTCCATCTTCTGCTGTGATGCTGGCACTTTTAGATTGGTTTAGAGTAGAAGCTCACTGTCTAACATAGGTGATAGGTATTGGCAAGTAATTGTAAATATTGTATACGTAGTTTTTAGTATAAAGACGTAACACCACCCCGAGGGCAGGCAGAGTGCCTCTGTCTGTCCTGCTGAATGGGCCTTGGCAGGTCAGGATAAAGAATTTTATAGACAAGAAACAATAAACAACCTCGAGACTGAGAACTGAAGAGCTCTGACTCCTTCGGGCGCCAGGCTGGGAAAAGAGACTTTCTAATGCATCTCGGGGGTCACTCTGACCAGCTAGAGATCACAAGAACTGATGAGATACCAGATTTAAGCAGGATTTCACCATGTGGAAAATGGTCAGATGAGCCTTTGAGTTACCATTGACATCTTTGTTGTTGTTTCCAGGGCAGTCCGTTCGAAGATTAAGCAGTCCCAGTCCATGGAAATGGGTTTACTGAAAACATCTGAACGAGATCATGAGTCAGAAGAAGAAATTTAGCATGAGTATGTCTTGACCAGTTTACCCACTCCAACCATTAGGCTAATTGATACCTCATTTCTACATTTTTTTGCCATCTTATTCATTCTTTACTATGACTTGCTTTGCAAATATCAATCCCCTACGATGTCTACATCTACACAGTTGTTGGTTTTGGTTTTTTTTGTGAAGGGTAAGCTTGATATTGATTCATGGTGGTTGCACTAGTACATTGCTTATCACATGCTTCACAGAAAATCAGACTAGTATTAGACAGACTTGATGTGGATGAGGTGACACAGGGAAGTCTGTATGTTTGCCTTATTAAAAGCTAAGCAAAATGTTTTTCAGCCACTGCTGGACATGAAGTTTCCATAATCAGGGTGTCTGAATATGTGTGTTGGTTGCCCTGCAAGTACCTGTGGATAAATAACTGTGCAGACCTGGATAACAGTAGAACAAGATAAAGAAACCACAGTCTTGCAGCTGTTCTGTGTAACAATTCTGTGTCTCTACTTGTAGCTCTGTGTTAAACAGGAAGAACTTCTCACTGTGAACCCATTGAGTGGTTCACTGAAGAATGAGCAGAGACACCACCAAAGCTGGCAGGAGGACCAAAGATGTGCATGGTGATCAAAACCCAGTGTGGTTGTTTGTGCTTGTGCCTAGCCAGTCCCGTCTCTTTGCTATCCTTGGACTTTCCAAGGCAGTGGAAGTGACCCTGCCTTCCCTGGAACAATTTCTTTTCCAGAAAGGCTGAGGGGTGTCCAGTCAGGCAGCACCTAAGTGCAAAACCAGTTTCTTTCCCCAAGCTATTTCCTTTCCTCAGGTGGAATTTGGTGGTTTTCTGCAGGATTCACAGCAGACATGTGAGCCACCACCTGAGTCAGGAGTGGGTATTTCTGCTCTGTGGGCAGGATGAGATGGTTTTGCATCCCTTTCCCTGTATCACTCTTCAGCCACCAGGCAGCCTGCATTGCTGCACACTGAGCTGTGGGAGGGCAGATGTTGCCTTTTAGTAGCTCCATACCCAGCTACTAAATCCAGTGAGAGAATTAAAAAATAACACCACTTTTAATTGCATTTATTTTCTCCATACAAACTGATTTAGTGAAAAGCATAGTGTTCAATGCCAATGGCAGCAAAATGATTGCTTAAAAAAGCTAGCTAATAAAATAGTTTGTACCTCAAAGGGATCCCAAAAAATCCTTACAGGCTTTTTCTAAAACTACTTTACCTTCAATACAACATAAATATTTACTTCACTTTTAAGTTCTACCTTTTATCTCCCCCTTTTCAAGGAGCACCTTTACAAGCTGCACATGCTGTTAATGCTGTGTTTTAGTCTGTCAGCTTTGTCAGTGCCTTTCTAGAATCAGTGGTGGTGTTTATTCTGAAAGAGATTGTCAGAAACTACTTTGCTTCTCACAGGCAGGAACAATGCAAACTGCAAACTTTGCTGCTTTTCTTTATAAATGCATTTAATACCGTGTAAATATTAAGGTGCTGTATGTCTAAACCAAAGAGAGAACCTAAGCAGGATGAAAAACACAATAAACTGTCTGAGCTTTTGTAGGTCTTCTTAGAAGACTTCGGTTGTTAAGTTTTAAAATAATTTTGGGTGTTTGCCAAGTATTGTGAAGTAACACCTGTAACCAGGTGCCAGATTATCTAGATGAATCTTTGGAAAGCAAGAGTAGTTGGCTCACATACATTTTTACATTTACAAATGTTAAGAAGGAAATTGCACATTGCTAGCCAAAGATTGCTTTCCTTAGCAATTGTTGGCCCTTTTCCAGTGCCCTTCTCTGAGGGCTCTTGGAGATTTTGGCAAACTTTAGTAAAGCCTGTCACAAACCTTAGCAAAGTCCGGGACATTTTTGTAAGATAGGTACTGGAATGGTATATTTGTAGCTCTGTGTCTCGGCTTTACAGTGATCTTATTACAAACTCTGAAATTATTCTATTTACTCCACTCTGCAAATCTAAGACTGGAGTTTGATTACTGTGGTTCCATTAAAATCAGATTTTCTGTAGAAGGAAGATCCAGGGCTTCCCTGAGGAGCTTGCCTGTTAATTGCAGCAGGGATACATTTGCCAAATGTATTCCTGTTTGGATCTTACCTTCATTGTACCACATCACAGTTGTCTCTAAATTGTGGGGATTTTTTTTAAAGGGCAGATCCTTTTTCCTGTTAGAATGGTTGAGCTACAAAGCTTCTGTAGTACTGGGTAGAGAGGATGATATTTGTGCATCAAAGAGAACCTGGGGATTATTACAAAAGTCTGTCACAATAATAAAACCAATTGATGAAGTGAACCTCATGGGCAAGCTGTGCACATGGAAGGTGCTTAGGAAAATCTCCTTTTGAAAACAATTACCTGCTTTTACAGAAGCAAAAAGTGACAGTACTTGAATTTATTGGACAGAGAGTGGCAGCCTGATACTGCCCCTCCCCTGGGGAGGAGCTGGGGACTCTGGCTCTGTCCTTATCCAGCCGTGGCTGTAGAGCTGGGTCTTTTTGGGGAAAAACTGAGCAGGATCTGGCCTGCACCTCCTTCTGTGTCCCTGCTGTGAATCTCCTGTAAATGATCACAGAACTGGGTGAATAAACCCAACACATGTCTGCTGGTTTTGGTGCAATCATGCTTAGCAAAGACACCTCTAAAGGAGATGAAACTGGAGGCTGATGCGATCTGACACAGAACTGTAGGGCAAGTTTGTGCAAAAGGCTCTCTCCTCACATTAGGAAATGTGGCATTGCATTATCAAGCTTGGGGAAATGCAAGGAAAAACAGATCCTGTAGTCTCAAAGAAACAGTAATTTTGGGAATTTAATTTTTAATACTTACAGTACATGGAAAGTGAGTGTCATAGTGGGGGTTTGTGCCTTTTGGCACCTGTGTATGGTGCCACAAAGGAGAGGAACACCCTGTTTCAGAGTGAGGTTTTGCTACATGGAACACCTGACCCATTCTCCTGTGTTCTAGAGAGATGCCCAGGAACAGTGGGGCATCTATCACAATGAAAAAGGTACAGCCTTCATCATTTCACAAGCAGCAGGCATTGCCTGAGTTGAATGAGGGGAGGGAAGTCCAACAAGTTTACAAACACCACTCAGAAAAAGGAAGCTGCTCTCAAGAAAATTTAAATTATTTTTAAATATTGGTGCCTTTGAAAAACTATATGTTAGTTTTTACTAGACAAAATACAGCTGTAATTTTATTTAAATAAAATTGATTTATTCATGTAAGACGTCTGTCATGTTTTCTGGGGAAAAAATATAACCATTTATGGGACAGAATGGGATGGGATAACACTGTCATAACACATCCAGGCTTTTGAACAAGTTGCACTTTAATTCAAGAAAGGTCAGTACTACCTTGTCATTAGAAACTGAGATGTTTGTTCTATTTAAATGTTTTAAATGTATTATTTAAATTATTTTTTCCCTTGTAACTAAACATAGCATGAACGAAGAGCAAATACAACAGCAAGGAATTTGAATCCTCCAGGTTCACTCATCCTTAAAACTTAAGCACTAAAAAACTTCAGTGGATCAAGTACCTTAATCAGGTACTCTTCCCCAAAATGTTTCAGTTCCTCCAAACAGCAGCTGGGGTGGGAGTTGCTGATACAAAAGTTGGTGGATGAAATCAGAGCAGTTTTTTTATCCAAAAAGATCTTCAGCATGTGCAGTAGTGGAAGGGAGCCTGGCTCAAGGACAGAGTAACAAAGAGCACATCTGTTAAAAGGGAGAAAGACAACTGGAAAACTGCCGGAAAATTTGTCCTTAAAATCTATTCTAGGTGCAATATGTGCTTGCTCAAAATAGCTGTCAAATAAGGAATAACTTGTCCTGAAATGACTTTTTTTGAACACTAATTTCTACCTCTTTGCTAGGTAACTGTTGGAGCTCATGGATCTCTATATTTGATATGTTTCTTAGAATGAAAATACGTTTAGAAAAGTAGATGAAAACCATAAGTATAAATACTACAGCAATTTAGTTTAGAAAGGAATCTCTCCCCTATAGACTTCTGCCATTTACTGACAAAACACTCTCCCAGAGATGGCAGCTCAGAGGTCAATGCAAGGGCACAATAAAGGCATGAAACTGGAGCAGAAATGGTTTTGCCTGTATGCCGTGGTTATGAGCCTCTGCCTCCCTGAGGAGGAGAAGGAAGAAATGGAAAACAGGCTGCAGATCCATACAGCTGGGCAGCAATTAAACAACAAGAAATCACTCCCAGCACTCTGAAGAGCATGGGAGGGGCAGCTGTGTTCGTGGTACACAGCATTCCAGCCTCCTGCCTCCGGTGTTATTTACCAGGGACAAGGTTCTCAGACACATGGTGGGGTTTTTATGGCGCCTGTGCTGCAGGAAACAGCAATGCCAATCCTCCAGTAGCAATGACAGGGAGGGAAAGCTTGCACTGCTTTGCTGGAATTTTTCTCTGGTTTGTGAGTCTGACTCAGATGCAGTTGACACATTAAAAAAAGTCAAAGATGGTGTTTACTGCTGGCACCGTGCTTTGTGCACACTTGAAAACAAAAAAGAAAGGAAATAAGAAACATCTGGCTCTAATTAAGGCTTAAAAGAAATGGAAGAAAGCAGAAGAAACATATCCAGTCACACAAGAGTGATTTTATCTCCCTGCAGCTGCATCACACATACAAATCTGCAAGTGTTAAGGTTCCCTTTCAGTTTGTTATTCTATCATATAAACATGGTTTAATATTTTCATAAATAAAAGTATACTATCTTTTAAGAGGTGTTCATTCGTGTTGGTTTTGCCATCTGGTGCCTTTAGTATTTTTTTTCTCTGTATTTTATGTAAAGTGTTAATATGAAGTTAGAAATTCACAATCAGTTTTGCTCACAAACTGTCCCCCATTTGCAAAGCTGGGCTGGCAATCCAAAGTTTTGGACTCTTAGTATTTTGTATATCTAAACTCTTAGTATTTTGTATATCTAAACTCAACATTCTAGTCAAATATATCCTTGATGATGTTAGCCATGTAAAGGAAAGAAGCAGGGATGCTCTTTCCATTGAATGGGAAGGGCAGTGAGAGTAACCACCAGAATGAATTACGATTTCTTTCCTATGTTGTCATTTAAAAATACCTGCACTCATCTAGCAGCATTTCTATTAGCAAAGGACTCAGACGTGTGATTCAGTAGCTGGGCGTGCTTTCACCATACCACAAACCTCAGACTGAGTTTAGCAAAGCTGGATGGAGCTTAATGTCACTGAACTGTTCTGGGCTTCAGTTTCCCCGTCTTCAAGAACCAAATTACACTTGGCTCTGTTTTGTCTGTAAGAGTCCTGCTCAGGGAAGAGCATCTTCCTGTGTGTCTCTTAGATCCAGTTTTACATTCTTATCCCTTTAAACTGCAGGAAAGCAAACATTGAACTGCTTATGGCAGGAGGCTGTAAAGTAATTAACACTTCAAGGCTCCAAAGCATTCTCTGTGAGCAGGATGAGGAGGAGATGTCTCTGTCCAGCTGACCATTGCTGCTGCTCAGTTTGGCAGCAGTGGGAGAGCTGGGCCACGCTGCCTTTGTGCTCCCAGGGCTTGCCTGGCCAGCCCCACAATTTCTCCCAATCCCAGGGGATCCCTGGCCATTGGATGCACACTGGAGCGGTGCCACCAGCCCCTCACACGCCTGTCCTGCCCCACAGAGACCCGTGCCCGCCCCTCCCCAATGAAGCCTCCCATTCCCTGGCACTGGGGGAATCTGCAGTTGGGCACCTTGGGCAGGGGAAGGGCTCTGGTGGCCCTGGGTGCTGTTTGCTGCCACCAGATTGCCACGGCCCCTGCGCCCTCCTCGTGTCCCTGTGCTGATCCACCACTGAGCATCTTCTCCCTTTCCTGTTTCCCATGATAATGAGAATAACATAGAGAGAGGAAAGATCTAGGACAAGGAACAGGGCTGCCACAGACAGACAGACACCCCCTGACTGGACAGGGCTGAGCCCAGAGGGACAGCATGCAGCCCTGTTCCTCCTAAAGGTTTGTACCAGCCTGGCACTGGTGTGGTGGCACAGCCTGGCTTTAACTAAAACCTCTGTGAGCAGACTATTAAGACATTTGGCTCTCTGAAGAAGCACATTAACAATTTTGGTGCTCCCATTTGTAAAAGAAATTGTGGGAATACACAAAATTAGAGGGTTTTGGGAAAGCTGCAA